GTCTGGTGTGACGTAGGTTTTAGAAAAACATTTTCTTTATAGTGCCAACGTTTCGATTTTTATTGAGATCATCTTCAGGGCTCAAAGTGTGTGAGGCACTCTCAACACGACACACAAGAATGATACAATTACGTAGAAAACTTCTTTGAGCCCTGAAGATGATCTCAATAAAGATCGAAACGTTCGCACGATAAATAAAATGTTTTTCTAAACTTCTAAACAGACCGCATCTGACGATTTCCAAATAATCGGCGTACTCAATATTCCTCCATTGACCTGCATACAGTTTCGATGGAATATTTTTATAAATATTCCGCCATCGACCCAATCACGTACACAGCTCGAGGGGCGATGGGTATGTTATTTCACTATCAGCCTCAACCAATTCACTCTAATAAATACATTCATGCAAAACACATATTTTGACGGCTATATACAATAAAAAATTTCCCAATTTCCCTAAAAGTGGAACAGGGGACCCTGCAACTCGCTACCGTGTCCGAGAACCATTCTTAAATCCGGCGGCGTGCCTACACGCTCTCTGTACGGAGCCAAGGCATGACACGCCTATATTATGTGTGGCCACATCGAGCAACCTTTCTCTGCGTAAGGGGCACCTAAAGGAGCCCAAAAGCAGGTGCCCGTGTGTCAATATTTGAAACCCCGGAGGAGAAAAAAACCCGATGGGATGTTTTGAACAATCAATTCGTGAATTGAGATGACGCGAGACGTAAAGTGTGATTGATCTGATTACTGATCCAGCCGAGGCTTATTAATTAAAAAACCGACGGCAGCCTTGTTTGCACAAACGCCGTGACGACTGTTCAACCCAGGTCGAGTTCCGTCAATGCTGATCGCTGCCTGTTGCCTAGCTGTTACAGTCAAGATTGAAGATAAATATCTTCTAGCCAAATATTTTTTTCTTTTTTTTTTAAATTTATTCTAAGGGGACGCTGGTTTTAAACTTCGGCTTGATCTACTTGAACAATTTGTTAAATTGTCACAAGACCTGTTCGGTAAAAATCACACAATTTTATTCAAATGCTCGCCTTTGCATTTAAGCTTTTTTTATGGTATGAGGACTCATAAAGGGTTCAAGTTTATTACGTGTCAGATATAAAGTATAAATCAACACATTACCGGCGTTGGGCAATTGGTACCTACGACAATATCCTTATCTCCTGCCCTTGTGAGTTTATTGGGAATACAACGATAGGATGAGAAGTCACGCAATTGATTTATATTAGATATAAAGAGGTCATATGGTGTATTTCGGTTGAGATCAACCTAGGGGTCGGACCCTCCTTATCCTTACATCTTCGATAGGAGTGAAAATACTAATTCACATCTAATCTATGATTATCTATGTTTTTTTAGTTCGATCGTGAGGGGGTCCTTACAGAAAACAAGTTTTTTTAAAATATTGTAAAAGAATAACCCCTGACATTTGTTGCCAAACGATAACGCCATGCGAGGACGTGCGAAATTGAAATTTTATGAATTTTTTTCTTAACAGCTTCCGAGATAACGGGATTTACTTTCTCAGGGGATAAAAACCTCATGCAAACATCACAAGGGCAGACAAGGTTCAGACAAATCTCATTAATAAATAATCCATTGTAAGAAGTAACACAGAGAGAGAGAGAGAGAGAGAGAGAGAGAGAGAGAGAGAGAGAGAGAGAGAAACATAGTACATGCAACATAATAAAAGTGGTGTTTTTTAATACAATCTTAAAACGTTAAACGTTTTAGAGAGCATATAAACTAGTCAGAAAAGTTTCAGTCATTTTTACTACAATAAAAAGCAGAACACGGGCCTTAAGACCATAATAGGCCCTGAAACTATTCTTGGGACAACAAAAACAAACACGGAATCCTTCGTCACAATGGTTCATAAAAAGGGAAAAAGAGAAGTGAAATAATTCTAGATGTGCTAGACACGATAAGCTTGTGTTAAAACAAACCTCACCAAGGCTGGCAAACACACTGCAACAGATGGAAAGGGCTAAACTAAGAAGAGTGATAGGACTTTACTTACAGGTCACTAGCATCTGTGAAAACACTTAGACAATCTGGGCATTTACATTTTCAAAAAGATAGTTTTTATTCACAGTTAGTTGTTTTTTACGCTTCGGATTTCGAGCATTAAGCGCTCATCATCAGGTTGAAGGAGTGAGAAACACGTCTCTCGACCTGGATTGTACGAGGATGATAGAGATTTTACTTCTTAGAAGATGGATAGAGACGATTGCACTGAACTTAGGAACTTGGAATGTACAACCAGAAGAACGCAGAACTGATTTCGAGCATTAAGCGCTCATCATAGGTTGAAGTAGTTAGAAACACATCTCTCAACATGGATTGTACGAGGATGATAGAAATTCTACTTTTTAGAAGGTGTATCGATCGATTGCACTTAAAGTAGCAAGTTGGAAAGTTCAATCAGAAGGCTACAGTGCTTGGGAACGAAAAACCTCACTTCCTAGTATCCATCATCATCTTCATGAAGGAACTCGGTAAATAAAATCAGAAAGACGCAGAGCTCCGGATTTCGAGCATTAAGCGCTCATCATCAGTTTGAAGGAGTTACAAACACGTCTCTCGACATGAATTGTACGAGTAGACGATGGTGATTCTACTTCTTAGAAGATGGATCACACTGAACTTAGGAACTTGCAAAGTACAGTCAGAAGGCGGCGGCAGTGCTTGGGAATGAAAAACCTCACTTCCTAGTATCCATCATCATCTTCATAAAGGAGCTCGGGAAATGAAATCAGAAAGACGCAGAGCTCCGGATTTCGAGCATTAAGCGCTCATCATCAGATTGAAGGAGTTACAAAGACGTCTCTCGACTTGAATTGTACGAGTAGACGATGGTGATTCTACTTCTTAGAAGATGGATCACACTGAACTTAGGAACTTGCAAAGTACAATCAGAAGGCGGCAGTGCTTGGGAACGAAAAACGTCACTTCTTGTATCCATCACCATCTTCATGAAGGAAAGAACTCGGAAAGTACAATCAAAAGAACGCAGAGCTCTTGATTTCGAGCATTAAGCGCTCATCATCAGATTGAAGGAGCTATCTGCTACAGTTAGGGCCAGACTCAGAGCAGTGATAGGACTATCAACCGGTTGCATCTGAGGAAATATCAACATGGGCGCATTCAACGATCCCATTTGCAGATTATGCAGTATGGAGGAAGAAACAGCCACTCATATCTTCGAATGCGAAACAACCGCTCAATCGAGACATAACCTGGCATACAAATTACAAAGAAAACCCAGAAAATGAAATTGCAGTTGGAACACCTAATGCTCTGAGAAGGACTGAGTCGATTGCAATAGGGATTAGCAGCATGAACCCCCACTTCCTTATCCATCTCTATAACCATCATTACAAAGCACTACTTTAAACAGTACGTCCTGATTAGAACTATTTAGGCACAGCTAACCTTCCAACATCCAAAGAATAAAATCCTTCTAATCCAAATCCAATCCAATCATATCATAAATGTGTGGTGATTAGTGACCGATAATTACTCAGAAATCGTGAGATGCGGTCTGGTGTGATGTAGGTTTCAGAAAAACATTTTCTTTATCGTGCCAACGTTTCGATCTTTATTGAGATCATCTTCAGGGCTCAAAGTGTTCGTCTTCTGGGTAATTGAGCCATTCATGCGTGTCGTGTTGAGAGTTGGGCACAAACACTTTGAGCCCTGAAGATGATCTCAATCAAGATCGAAACGTTAGCACGATAAAGAAAATGTTTTTATGAAACCTACATCACACCAGACCGCATCTCCCGATCTCTGAATAATTATCGATTAACGGTCACTAATAACCACACATTTATGATATGACAGCTGGTATGTTCCGTGGACTTTCACATCATTCCAGAATGGAAAACAACTGATAACATTTTTTTTTCACTAATAAAACGGTTCGCACTTAACTGCGAAATCTTTGGGTTGTCAAGTAATATGAAAAAATATTGTATTTTAGCTCATAACACTATGTATGTAGTTTGTACAAATAGTAATTTTAAAAAAAATCATTCTAACGCTGATACTAAGTATATGATGTATTAATATAAATGCATTTAGTAATCATAATTGACCGTATTAATTATTTGAATTAATTACACTTTTAATCTAAGGTCTTGGCTGAGATAAAAGAGCAAGTGTCACGAGCGGTATTCGAAGTCACCGGCCGAAGGTCATTGGTTCGAATCCCGCTCGTGACACTTGATTTTTCATCTCAGCTAAGACCTCAGATTAAATATTAACCTTTTGATCATTTTTCCCCCGCTAACTAGAAAATAAACGATTCGTCGCGAATATACTTAATTATTATAGTTTTATCAATATTTTGCCCTTAATTATTCTATGGTTATTACGTATCTGTTGGTTTGTTTTTAAATATTTTAAATTATTCTATTTCGATTCAGTTTATTTTTTTTATATATATTGATTAAATCTAGGACAATCGTTATCTCGAATAGATAAATTTATTTGTTGGGTCGCCAAACCAAATATTTCGTATAGCCTGCCATAAAAGTCCAATGCCTCAGGGTTTTTATTTTTTTTAAGCTAAAAGAAAAACTTAACAGTATAAACGATTTGAATTGTTGAAAATTCTAGTTCATACAATTTGAATTTAAGCTTGCCAGGAACTTGAAAAGGGTGAAATCGGCGTCGACAATCAGGCGTCAATTTCGTGAAATTCGTCTATACAAAGTTTTAAAAGTTAACGAGAGCTTTTTTGTTACTTTACTTACAGTTTACAAGCCTTAGTACATTTAGTTTAAAATATAAAAACTTAGCGTTAAAAAAAACTGACGGAAACTAAGTAAAGAAGACGGCCGAAAAGCGATTGGTTGAAAACAAGCGAGAACGGGCGGACCAGGAAAGCCTTGCCGTTTTCGAAAACTTTCACTTTTTTTAATATATCTAGTTTGTCCTCCGTCTAGTACGTCTTAAGTTTTTTCTTCTTCCTCCAGGCGAGTTCGGGAAGTACCAGTGCATCCAGTTCCTCCTGCACTTGCTCGCCGCCCTCACGGCCGGTGTCCACATGCTGTCCCTGGTCACAGTCGCCGCAGTCCCTGAACACAGGTAAGACAAAATTAATACATTCCGACATGTAATTGTAAGCCTAAGTATAAATATAAGGAAATGATCAATGAAATTTGGAATAATTCAGGGCAAACTATGGAGGCACGGATTTGCATATGAAAATTATGAGGACAATCAGTTTTTTTGTAATGCAGTCTTGTCAGATTAAATAATAATATTGTAAAGACTTACCAAATTCAAAAATATTATAGTATTTTTTAGGTTTTTAAGAAAGAAATTGCAAATCTTGCTGTTTTCTACGCCACATCTTTTCTTCAAAATAACTTGGTTTATTCATTTTTTTTAAAATAATAATTATTTATATTTTATTTTAATGCCTTGATCCTTATTACTTAATAGAGGGCAAAATGATATATTTAATTATTATGTGAGATTCAGAGCATTTGTGAAGTTATCGTTCAAGTCATAATTTTTTTTTTATTAGCTTTTTTGTTAAATCTATGCTGCTTGAGAGGTTACTTAGCAAGTGAGGATCCACGAAGCACTTTGGTAAAAATACTCTCCTTTCCTCATTGACGCCTCCGCGAAGTCCCGCAAAATTTGTCTTTTGACGAAACCAGTTCCGGGGCCTGGGCAAGAAAGCGGATTACCCACTCAAGTAACTAATCGTCTCATTGACCTCTGAATATTAATAATCAAGATGGACCTGGGAACTGGCTGTTATTGGGATTGATCCGGGAACGCGGCACGGCGAAGTCGGGGGACTTGACAGAAGCCACCCCGAGGGCCGAGGTTTGAAAAAAAGGGTGGTGGCGAAAGGTTTTCCCTTCCCAATGGGCCTGTAAGCCGTCAGATATAACAAACTTTGTCATTAAGCACAAATAAAAACTAATGATTCGTCTCAAATCCAAAATGGCTGGAGATTTAGAGCACAATGTAGAGTTTTCGTTATGAAATCCCATACCTAAACAAATATCTTTCAAAACGAAAAATACCCTTGTTTAAAAAATTAATTTCTCAAGGTATACGGAGTGATTTTCAAAACAGAGACAAAATAAACAAAAAAAAAGTCTTCCGAAATTTCCTTATCTGAAAAATCCAAAAATTCACTACTGTATGAAGTCTTCGATGAAGATGAAGATTCTTAAGTCATACAGAGGGATTTAGAAAATAAAAAGTTACCGAAATTAAAGTTCGTTATTTGTCCCGCTTTAAATATCCTTATCTGCAAAATCCAAAAATTCACTACTGTATGAAGTCTTCGATGAAGATGAAGATTCTTAAGTTATACAGAGGGATTTAAAAAATAAAAAGTTACCGAAATTAAAGTTCGTTATTTGTCCCGCTTTAAATATTCTTATCTGCAAAATCCAAAAATTCACTATTGGATAAAGTCTTCGATGAAGATGAAGATTCTTAAGTTGTACAGAGGGATTTAAAAAATAAAAAGTTGCTGAAATGAAAGTTTGTTGTTTGTCCTGATTTAAATATACTTATCTGCAAAATCCACAATTGGATGAGATTTAAATCCATCACAATTTTCATTATGAAATCCCATACATAAACTCATGCCTTCAAACGAGAAATATCTTCTTTTTTTGGCCTTGTACATTAGTACATCTAGATATCCCTTGTTTAAAACCTTAAATTCTTAAGTTATACAGAGGGATTTAAAAAATTTTTTAAAAAATAAAAGTTGCCAAAATGAAAGTTTGTTATTTGTCCTGCTTTAAATATCCTTATCTGCAAAATCCACAATTGGATGAGGTTTAAGTCCATACCAAGTTTTCATTATGAAATCCCATACCTAAACTCATGTTTTTCAAACGAGAAATACCCCTTGTTTAAAAAAAATTAATTTCTTAAGTTATACGGAGGGATTTTTTAAAAAAAGTGGCCAAAATTATGTTTAATATTATTTGTCCTGATTTAAATATACTTATCTGAAAAATCCAAAAATCCACTATTGGATGAAGTCTACAATTGAAATTTACATCATGTTTACTAAAGTTGAATCATATTTAGGGATAGTGAAAGAATTTGGTATAAAATCAAAAATCAGTTTGTCATGTATAATGCAATAATTTCAAGAGCTGAAGGTCGTGGGTTCGAATCCCGCTCATGGCATTAAATTTTTCATCTACCAAGACCTTACATAAACAGAATAATTAATATGGTCAATTAGGCCACTAAACATAAATGGATTAATATATAATAAATAAAGAAGTATCACTTCACTAACAGCTTCCCGTGGCCACTTTATAAGTCGCCTGAGAATCGAATCCTGATTACACATTTGAAAAATGGCAAAAACAAGGGAAAATTCAAAAGGTTGTAGGTTGAGACGGGAGTTGGTGTCTGAGTGGATCGAAGTCATGATAGTTCAAGTTGTTAAATCATCGGCGTATTGAGCGGAAGGTCCTGGGTTCAAATCCCACTCACAACGCTAACTTTTTCATCTTAACCTTACATAAAAAGAATGATTAACTGAAATAATTAATATGGTCAATTAGACCATTAAATATAAATGGATTAATACCAAGAGTGTTGAATTCAACAGGCTATTTATTCTTCATCCTGCATTAGTTATTTTATCACCATTTTGTACTTTTATTGTAGTATACTGGTTATCCTTAAAATAGAATAGAATAATTTATTGTTGCGTTAATACATTGTTTGTTGGCATGTCGGCATAAATAAATTAATACAATTTGAGTTTAAAAATAATTAGAAAATTATCACAATAAGGTATCATGAACAACTGAAAAATTCATTTGGACCATAATACGATTTTCATTGTAAATTTACCTTCAAAGCCCTTTTAAAACGGGACAAACCATTATTCGTTTTGATACTAGCAGGAAGAGCATTTAAAATGTGTGAAGTCCATCTACTATTATTATGACCTGATCTGAAATCATTTTTGAAGCGAATATTACAAGAACGAATTGCCAAATTTGATGGGAAAAGGATTTGATTTTTAATTTTTTATATTTTTTAAAATGAAAATGGAAATTCTATAAATGTATATAGATGATTAGAGTCTCTACAATGGTTAGAGTAATTATTTTGTTATTTACAAAAAGCTGATGGCAAGAGTGCCTTATTCCTACACTGCTCATACTGCAAATGATTTTTTATTTTATTTTTTGTTTTGAGGGGGGAGGGGTTCTAAAGATTTTAACAGCGACATTACTATTTTCTTTAAAAAAAACCAGACCATTGGAGAGCAAGGATTCAAAATTACTTGTGGACTCAGTTTCATGAATGTGTCGGCTCAAATGAGCTTCCAAAATTCTACTCATATAGAAATCATACGTAGATTCATTTATATGAGCTTTCCATGTCAAGGAGGAATCGATATTCACCCCCAAAATTCTTACCGAGCCGATCCAAGGCAATTCCATACTCCAGTGTTTAAAGATAGGGGGTCAAGTTGTTGTTGATTTAAGTTTAAACTAAGTCAAGTCTTGAACGCACTGTAGTGATAGCGGCATTTTCCGTGATATGAAAATTCAACCTTTAACACTACTGGCTAAGTCATTGATAAAAAAAGTTAAATAAGAGTGACCCCAGAATTGAGCCTTGTGGGACCCCTCGTAACAGGAATTGTGGAAGAGGAATGACCATTTATAAATACTTTTTGATAGCATTCAGAATCCAGGTGAACACCAAAAGATTCAAGTTCCATAATTAATAAGTCATGGTTAACAAGAGCAAAAGCTTAGTTAGATTAATTAATTTATAAATGTTATTACTCTTTGCAGAATTGCACAGATAACATAAAATAACAGGGTGCTAGGTGGAAATTTAAGGTAGGAGATGATGGGTTTTGGTCTGCGAATAACTGGTTGCTGAATAGCACAAACAAAAAACCCTCGAGTGGAGACAGACCCAATAAAATGCCGTGCACCGGTTCAACAGAAATTTAAGATGCTAGGCACATTCAAATTTAATCACAGCTGCACTAATTTTATAAAATTAAGCCTAAAAAGGGATGTAATTAAGCTCTAGTCTAATACCGATACTAAATATGCTTGATTTCCTTCTGCTTCTTTGCAGAATCTACACATCCACTGCCAGATAAAACACCATAATTGCCACAGTTAGTTCGGTCTTTTATTATTATATTTAATTTTTGTTTTGTTTTTTATGTACTATAAAGCTCATCGTTCACTAATGAGATTGTTTAAATGGTCTAGATGTGCGATTCCCGATTTGGCGGATGGGACAGCTATGTGGAATGCAACAGAAGTGCACCGTTGGATTCCACAAACGGCGCAAGGTGTTTTTGACTCTTGCACTATAAGAAATCCATTGACGAATGTTACAAGTCTCTGCGACCAATGGGTTTTCAGCGACATGTATTACAAAACTTCCAGAGCGATTGAGGTATACACTAAAATGAGGTTAAATTTTTCACTAATAATTATAATAAAGTGATTCTCCAGTGGGAGTTTGTCTGTGCCCAAAGGTGGAAGGGCGCAGTCTCCCAGTCTGCGTATATGTTTGGTGTATTTTTTGGCGCAGTGACACTCGGATCTCTCGCTGATTCGTAAGGCTTGATTTAAATATTCAAAATTAACCATTTCTAATTTTTCTTTTATGTTTTAGGTATGGGAGAAAAACAATTTTCTATATATCCGCCATCCTTCAACTTTTCTTCGGTGTGTCTGTGGCTTTTGTGACCAATTTCTACGTGTTTCTTGTCAACTCTTTCTTCTACGGCATGTTCGGCTCTGCTGGTTCTTACATCACAGCTTTTGTACTTTGTAAGTCTTATTTAACACAATGGTTTTCAATGTTTACCTTGAACTTTTGTGCATATAGCTATGGAATTGGTCGGCCCTACAAAAAGAACCATCTGCGGTATAACTTTCCAAGCAACATTCGCAGTCGGTATCATGTTGGTAGCATTTTGGGGCTATTTAATTTCAAATTATGTCACTTTACAAATGGTCTATGGTCTCCACAGCTTACTCCTAATTGGCCACTGGTGGTAAGTTTTATTATTCGTTTTTCTAGTTTCATTAAATAATCATAATTTAAATCGCTGATTTAGGCTGATGGATGAATCTCCAAGATGGCTTTGGTCGAGGGGTAAAATATCTCAAAGTGTGGACATCGTGGCAAAGGCGGTGAAGATGAACACCGGCGAGACTATAGAAAAATCTTATTTCATCTCAAGAGGAAAAGCAAAATCACACCAGTCCAAGTTAGAAACTGCTGGCTTAAGAGATATGTTCAGAAAACCATTCATGAGAAAGAAAACATTGAATCTCTCCCTCAACTGGTAATTTTTTTTTTTTTTTTTAATTGATAATATTAAAAAGTATATACTTTATTTTCCACAAAAAAGTTATAAACATTACATAATACATAATTTAAAGTAAATTTATGGCATCAGGTCCATCTACAGGTCATCTGGAGGTTGATTTTCATTTAACTTAAATTTTAGGTCTATGTAGAAAAAAAAATTACAATTAATCATTAACTAAATATTACAAACAATGTTGATGTCCGAGTGGATCGAGGTGACGATAGCTCAGGTGGTAGAGCAGCAGCGTATCTAGCCGAAGGTCGTGGGTTCGAATCCCTCTCGTGCCATTAACTTTTTTTCATCTCAACTAAAAACCTTAATTAATTGTAATGTATTAATTGGTCAAGCGGACCACGAAATTAGTGAATTTAATGAATTAAAATGAAGTACACTTCACTAAAGCTCTCCGTCGCCATTTCAATTGTCGTCGAGAATCCAAACCGATTACACGACATTTGAAAAATGGCAAAAGGAGGGAAAACTCATAAGGTGGGGTTGAGATGGGGAGTTGATGTCCGAGTGGATCGAGGTCACGATAGCTCAGGTGGTAGAGCAGCGGCGTATCTAGCCGAAGGTCGTGGGTTCGAATCCCTCTCGTGCCATTAACTTTTTTCATCTCAACTAAAAACCTTAATTAATTGTAATGATTTAATTGGTCAAGCGGACCACGAAATTAGGGAATTACAAACAATAGTTTAATTTGAATAATTATATTAATTATTTACTAAAAAAAATTATATACCATGATTTTTTCTTTGTTTAATTTACAATATTGGGGCGTTGTGGCCACAACGGTTTAGACATTGACACAGTGCTCATCACTGTAAGGTTAAAATCCCTAGTTGAAACCAATGGCCCTGCATTCAAACCTGACATAGAAATGTTTTTTGTTTTTTTTTTCCATAAACACCCCGAGGGTTCATATAAATAACAATATTATAAATTATTGGGGCCAGCAAAAATTATTTTATAATATTAACTCTTGGTGATAATGCGCTTCATGGTGCACATAGTCAATTAAATTTTTGAAATTATTAAGCAATAAGTTGGGGGCTGCAGTAGCCGAGTGGTTAAGGCGTCAGACTCTCGACTAGTAGATCCCGCGGTCGTGGGTTCGATCCCCACCGTCGCCTCTGAACTTTTTCTGACCGGTGGTCGCAATTGAAAGAAATTGACACGGCACTCATCAATGGAATGGGCCGGATCGGATCTCAGCGAATTTGATCCCAACCCCCTTCAAAAATGAGTTTCTTCGATGGAAGAACACCGGTACAACGGGGGCTCAAGTTCACATTTGTGTTGCGAGCCCTCCCCCAAAATATGGAGCCAGGGATAAAGTACAATAAGTTGTACAGCTCAGCTGCAGTTCTCAGGAGGGAACTCCTCCAGTCCCTGGTATCAAAGAAAAAGCAATTCAAGTTAATAAACTGTGGTCTTATTTAATTTAACAAAATTTTGATGGAGAAACTCAAATCTCAGAGAGGGTAGTGCATTTTGTAATAAAATTTGAGAAGCACAAATAACTTCTAATGAAAAAAAAAAACATCGAGTTTTTTCAAGCTGTTCAAATTTTTCATAGCCCAGACATGCAAGACGTAACAAAATATTGAGCAGTAAAACTTAGTTGAAGAGTCTGAATATCACTGGAAGAGAAATAGAATTTTGAGAAATTAAGTTGTACCTTTCGTTCAGAGCCTGTTTCGTTGTAAATATTTTATTGTTAATATTGTAATTACAAGACAAACCTAGGGATAGCGTTACACCAAGATATTTATATTCCTTTACAATTTCAATCTTTAAAACAATAACAATGCCTTATCCGGCCCGGAGGACCAAATACACACAAGCATATACCAAAATGCATTTGACAGGCTAAACAGCGAGTATAATCAAACCAAGACAATCGAAAGCGATCACAAATTATAACATCTGCCAAAAGATTATTTGTGGGCTGGCAAGATGGAAAAATAATGCCTGACCAAGGATTCCATCTTGAGCAACGACAATATTTATATCCTCCCTTTAGTGTAGTAAAGTGCTGAGATCCACTTCTACTGGCACGTCCAGTCTCTCGGAATCAGGCTAAAGCCCTGAAGACCAAGCTCTGAGAAACGTTGATTGCCTCTGTGATATCAACTTGCCGGTGACCTCGAAGACTCATTCTCACAACAATGTAATTGAAAGACAAACGTGGGGATAGCATTACACCAAGATATTTATATTCCTTTACAATTTCAATCTTTAAAACAATAACAATGCCTTATCCGGCCCGGAGGACCAAATATACACAAGCATACACTGAAACGCATCGGACAGTCTATTCCGTCTTGTAGCAATGGCAATATTTCTGTCCTCCCTTAACATTGTAATGTGCTGAGATCCACTACCAGGCCACTCAATGGCACATCCAATCTCTCGGAATCAGGCTAAAGCCCGGGAGACCACTCTCTGAGAAATTCCAAAATACAAATATCCCTATTTGAGCAGTTCACATATAATTAAAAATATGGACATATTCAACATAAAAAACACAAATAAAATATTAAAGTATTATGTCTTGAAATACATATATAAAAGAAATGAGAAAGAATGATAAAAAATTTAATTAAACAACAGAAAAATATAAACAAATAGGAAGAAACTGAAGGAAGTCGATTGACGTGTGTCTCGTTCTGTATCCAAACATTGATTCAATTTTTGTTACAATTGATATAATAAATCAATAATATATTATTTATTTCAGGTTTGCCAACAGTCTAGCGTACTACAGCCTTTCACTGAATGTAGGAGTGCTTGAAGGAAATCCTTTCTTGATCCTGTTTGTGATGGGTCTCATAGAAATCCCCGGATATCTTTTAACCATGTATTTACTGGATAAAACTGGAAGGCGGTGTTCTATCTGTTCATTTATGATCATTGGGGCTACAGCTTGTCTAATAACTGCTGTCTTACCTTCTGGTATAAAAAAATTATATATCATTTTGTTTTTATCATTCATTGTTGTTGTTTTTTTTAATAGATTGGAGTTTTTTTGCAACATGTGTGGTCTTTGCTGGAAAGTTCTGTATAGCATGTTCCTTCGCAATTATTTATAATTACAGCGCAGAAATTTTTCCCACAGTGCTTAGAAACACTGGCCTTGGATTTGGCAGCATGTGTGCAAGGTTTAGCGCAACTTTGACACCGCTTATAACTCTTTTAGTATGCCGTCTTCACCGATATTTTATTTCTCAAATAGACAAATATATTCATTAGGTTTATTTACAGGATTCTTTCGACAAAAGGGTCCCGACTGTTGTGTTCGCATCTGTGACGCTCCTATCAGGATTTTTGACAATGTTCTTGCCTGAAACGTTAGGCCAACCGATGCCGCAGTCCCTCCAGGACGGTGAGACGTTCGGCAAAGGCGACACGGTCTTCACGACAGGCTGCCTACCGATGTTCAAGAAAAGCAAGAGCGATGATGAAGTCGAGATAAAGTTAAACGCTCAACCCTAATCGAGAGGCCGGGAACTCTTTTGTCCTTGTGTTCAAAATCCCCTTCAGTGCTGCTGTGATAATATCTGTGTTATATACTCCAATAATTGTTAATATGAATAATAAAAGTTATATTAATTTTACTATTATTAAATTTTCATGGAAAACTAATATTTTTCTCAGTTAGAATCCTGAGAAGTTTTATTTTTAATTTTATTTACAATTTTGGATGGGAAATCTCACAATTTTTTGAAAAGGTGTTTTTAGTTTTCAAGAAAGATATATTTTATGTTATAAAGTGTTTTCTTTTTTTGTTTTTACTAAATAGCAAACGACATATTTTATTTTTGTGCCATTTACATGTAAATCAAATTTAAAAAATGATGTTTTTAATTAAAAAAATCATTTATTCTTAAGTCCAACTTTATTTTTCTGCCAATATCACAATGAATATACAATCACAATTTCTCACGCCCTCCAAGTCCTTGCTTCTTGCTGCACCAATAGACATTGTCCTCCACAGTAAAATTGCAATCCAGCAGCTAAGAGATGGAAAGGAGCCAACAATGGTAAATTTGGATGCGGCAGATAGGGAAAGGCTACAAGCTGCACCTAGAAAGCAGATCCGGGAAATCCTCACAGTTTGGATAGACAACTTGTGGCAGAAAAGATGGGACAGAAGCACCAAGGGAAGGCTAACCCACGAGTTTCTACCCAGTATTGAGGACCGAGCAAAAGCAAAATGGTTTCAACCAGATTACTGGATCACACAAATATTGACAGGTCACGGAAATTTCAATGCTTACTTGCACCGATTCCATAGAGCTAACAGTCCACTGTGTCCCGACTGCGGAGTTGATGACAGTGTCCAACACAGACTGTTCAACTGCCCCCTCCTTGAGAGTGTGAGGGAACCACTAAAGCTCTTCTTCCGCCACACTTGGCCACCGACCCTCAACGAACTGATTAAAGAAAAGAGGACGTTTGAGGTCCTCAAGCCTGTTAGCCGAGCTATAGTGGACAAAGTACCTGATTAGTTTGTTCTTCCTTTTTCTTCTTTTTCTTCCTATGTTGTTACTTGTTAATCTTAGCGATTCCCTGAACTTTTAATTCCGGGCTGGTTACTCCTTGTACTCATAATTGTTATTTATTGATTAAAATATTGTATTTATTAGAAAGTGTGTTCAAAAGGATTAACCAGCAAGGGGGAGACCTATTAGAGTAGATAAATTAATAATAAAAAAAAATTTCCCTTCTTCCTTGGGTCTTCCTTTCTGGGCAAGGTCGAAGGAAGACGTTAAGCACAATAAGATCCCCTAAACTTGCATCCCATTTGAATTAGTTTAGTGGCCGTGGTCCGCCGGTATGGGGTCTCCCTTAGGTACGGCGGGGAGGTGGATGGGAAAAAAAATACAATCATAATTTTTACTGTACAATACTGCTCATTAGTTAAATTAAAACCGAGTGAATAGGAAGTATAACAATGCGAGGCGCCGGTGAAGATATTGACATGGTGGTCATCACAGTAAGGATTAAATCGCATAAATTTAAATTGTATTATGTCCTCTTGTCAATGTGGTTTTACAACACATCGTTAAGTCTGTTTTAATTTAGTCTATTACAGTATGTCGTGAATTCACTAGTTATTTACAGGTTGACTCAGTTCACACAGATATAGCTAAAGCACCTGTTAACTGCAGAATATTACAGTCTAAACTCCACTTGTTTGATGTGACTGTTAGTTCGTTCTCTTGGATTTAAAATTATCTGTCAGCAAGGAAGCTAATTATAAAAGTAACTCATCGGATATTCACATTCTGGGGTCCCCCCAAGGTTGTCGCTTGGGTCCACTGCTATTCTTCATATTCTTTAATGATACTCCAAGCGAATTTACAAAAGCTGCATTTACGGTGTTGTAAAACTTGTTCAGTCTAAACATTGATGTGTAAGATAATTACCCTAAGCCCTCAAAAAAAAAGTATCATGCAAATAAAACTAACAACTTTTGATTTGGGGATCTTGAGAGTTATATTCAATTCAACACTCTCATTTAAAAATCATAAATAACGCTGCAAAATCATAAATTATTGAGCTTTATAATCAGAAACACTCAAAAATTTGCTAAAATCTTTAAAGTACTTATATGTTTCTCTAGTTAGGCCTCATCATGAATTTTGGACCCTAATCTGGTCTCCCCATAATTTCATACATATCAATCCAATTCAAAAATAGAGCCAACATTTTTGAGATAAATTGCATTTCAGCAAAACATTCAATTTTCTTCCTCAGATTACAAATTAGTAAAAGAGCTAACTAATTCTGATAGGAAAAACTTAAACGATGCTCTCTTAATATGATATTGTAACTTGAAAAAAAGAAGTTTCCTGATTTCTCCAGTATTCTGTGTTCCCAATGTCAAGACTAAAAATAATAGAAATAGTTAATGTTCAATTCTATTAGAAAATTATGCCTTTTATTTTTCTATTTCCAGAGCCTTCCGATTAATAAATCAGCTTCAAGTTCGCGCAGTTATTTTTAACATGTCAAAGTCGCAATTCAAAACTTCCATCGCCTGGATTTTGATGAAGCTTCCAATATAGATGAATCCAAAGAAATAGAAGAACATGAAGAAGACTCAAATTCTAAATTGAGTGATTAGATTTTGATGATGAAGAGGATGACGGTTCATTTTATTGCAGCAGGAAAAGTGGGAAGAAAGTTGTTGATTCCATAAGTTGGAAGAAGACTCCATTCAGCAACAGAAAAGAACACGCCATAATTATCAAAATTTGATAAACAGATCTGACAGATCCTGTGTGTGACCATCCATGAGATTCGAAATGGTGCAACCGATGGAGTATTAAACAATTCTTATCTATTTAATTGTATGATTTGTTTTTAATTTTACAAGGGGTCGCGACAGGAGAGGTCTTATCAACCCTTGGGGTATCAAAAAGCTTAGTGATTGTTTGCTTCCTTAAAAATAAGTCTAAAAGCAATGAGATTGTTAATTTGTCTTTTCTAATATCCAATTTTTTTTTCTTTGTACGTATTTTAGTCTTATTTTATTTTGATCACCTGGACAGGAACGTGACATCCCCCACCAATCTGGGAAACATAACTTTGTAATAATTAAGCAGTTGGTCGAAGGATGTCATAGTGCAGACAGGAGTGAAGTGACGTTCCTCACAAACCAGGGAAATCTAGCCCTGTAATAATTACAAAGTTGCTCAAATAAGTAAGAAAGTCAAAGGTTATCACAGATCCAGATGGAGTCATGGGATGTTTCCCACAAATGGAAAACAAATTGCAATAATTGGACAACCAAACAAATAAATAACATCCAGTTATTTAGTGCTGAAAGGATGACCCAAGGCAAAAAATATGTAGCGATATAGGTGATTGTAAATCAGGCTCGCATCAACCAGGTGCCCAACACCCATCTTCGCCGATCCACCTCCAAAACTCCCACAACTTTAGATTTTCCTTTCCACCCTTACTGATGATGATGGTGATGATGATGAGGATACTAGGAAGCGGGGTTTGTGCTCCCCAGACACTACAGCCTTCTGGCTTATTGTGCTTTCCTATTTCCCTAGTTCATTTCAATCAGCTCTCTCTTTCTTCACAGAAATAAATCAAAACGGTTACGAAAAATCATTTTAAATATAAAATCTATTAAGTCGATATGGAGAATTGCACATGTGATGAAATGATTACCATGGTGATGAAAATTCATTTTAAAATATTATTTGACATCGAAATATTGTGTCTACATTTGTACTTCCTGCAAATTGTGTTTAACTAACTATATCAACTTGCCGAGTTGTGAATTAACTTCTAAACTTCAGGTATGTCTTTAGCTTATTACAGACAGGACACANCATAATTAGCAATAGCATAAAACCAATGAAAATAAATATAGATGTAGATAGTCGGGGTGTAATATACTGCGCCATTTACGAGCTATTGTATTGTTCTCTGCCTAAAGCACACCGGTAATTCCTATTTCATCAAGAAACTTGATTACTAGGCCCGGTTTTGGTGGTTGAATCTCTTCTGTGGTCACATTGTATAACCCAAGCACTTCTACCTGCGGACAAGTATAGCACCACATTTTGTTAATAAGTGTGTTGGTTTCTCCTCTGCCTTTTTGCAGAATCTACAAGTGCCGTCTCGGATTATTCCAATCTCTTTAAGTGTCCATTTAGCTTGCAGTGTCCTGTTAAGAATCCTGTTAGGATTCGCAGTTATTCCTGCTTCCTTTGACACATTCTGTAATTTCTTTTCTTCCAAAATTTGTGAGGAGATTCTTGGATTGCCTGTGTCCAATGAGTGAATTCCATTGTTCCTTCATTTTCTTTTTGTCCTTCTGTCTGAGGTACTCATTGATGGTATGGGTTCCTTCTTATGCCACAGAAGGGGTCAGGTCCTGTCAGCGGTGTGGCTGCTCCATGTCTTGCAAGGGTGTCCGCTTTCTCATTGCCTTCTACTCCCATGTGTCCTGGGACCCAGCAAAGGCTGGAAAAACTGTTAGGTCCCATAGAAGAGGTGACAGTACCCAACGTTGAGGACATGATTTGGTTGTGCTGACTTGTATAGTGTATGTTCCTATATTTGTATCTAGTTCTTAACATTTCTCCAATCTATCTAGATGTGGATTGGTCTATGTATTTTTCCTCTATTGAGACCTTCATAGATGCATGAGATGCGTTGTTGAAGTCTCCTTCAATGCCAAGGATTGTGCAGATTGCTGTTTCCCTTAGGTCACTAGTTAACTGGTACAGAGCAGTTTCTGTTGATCTTCCTGCTCTGTATGCATGTTGACGGTGATGTAGTGGTTTGTCTACCAGCGCTGTCGTTCATATATGGCTGTCTATCAGCTTTTGAAGGGCTTTCAATAGAAAGGATGTTAAGCTGATTGATCTGTAGGATTTGGGTAGTGTAGTCTTTTTTGACTTTTTTCCTTTTTTCTGTATAACACCACCTTTGCCCTATGCCATGTCTGTGGTATATAACCTAGTTCTAGGCTGCTTCTATATATTTGCACCTATATTCCAGTGTTGGAATAATTATAGCAGTTCCTTTTTGTAGCAGGATGGGAAAAAGTTCCTGGTGCTTTATATGGGCTGAAAGTATTAATCCCCAGAGGATCTTTTTCTCTGTGACTATTGCAGCTGCTTTCTTCTAATTTTCTTTCTTAGGGTTATCTGCTCCCAAATTTCCCGGGGGTATTTCATAATTGCTGCCTGGAAAATGTATACTTAGAAGGAGCATTGCTTTTTGTTTCGTATGTTCTGTACAGCTTATGTCTACCCTTGTTTGTCCTTTGCTAGT